ACTTGTACGCCGGGGTTTCGGCGTGAGCGTGTCGCGGTGCCTTTCGTGTAGGAAGCGCCATGGCCGCACCCTAGCACTAGTCCTCCACTGCGGCTCTTCCCCACCAGATTTTGTCTGGTGCCAAGCGCCGACTGCCGAGTGCTGTCAGGTCCTCAGGGCACTCGGGCCCCTCCCCAGCCTGCCGCCTTGAGGCCGTTTAGCACGCATTCATTCAGACTGCACGCCCCTTGTGTGCCCTCCATGACGTTAATGACACAGCTTAGTTTGGTCCAAATGACCCTCCACGGGGGCACGGCAGGGACCTGGCCATGCAGGAACGGTCACATCACTGCCGGCACCATAGTGTCTGTCCTCGCCGAGTGCTGGGACATAGGTTCTGAGCTCGCCCACTGTCTGGGCCCCCGGGGAACTGCCCGCTTTCTTGATGCCTCCTTGAGGACTAAATGCCAGTCCACTCATGCTGTCTGCGCGCGGAAGGAAGGGCTCAGACGCTACGGCCATCGTGAGAGGCAGTGGGGAGTTCTGCAGAGTGCTGGGGTGGAGGCTGGCCTCTGTGCAGCCCCTCACACACCCCTCTGCAGTGCGGTCACACTCCCACCGAGAGTACTGAGGGCAGAGCGTGGACGGCGTAGCCCTCGGCGTCAGCCATCCGTGCTGTTGGCCAGCCGGGCCCCTGGTCCCGTCACTGACCACCTTATTCCTTGGCCAGGGTACCTACATCTACTTCGACTACGAGAAGTGGGGCCAGCGGAAGAAGGAAGGCTTCACCTTCGAGTACCGCTACCTGGAGGACCGGGACCTCCAGTGACACTGGCCCTTTCTCCACCCACCCCTCCCCCGCATGCTGACCCCCCTGCCCAGGTGAGGGCCCAGGCCATGGGGCGCCCCTCTCCCACAGGAAGCAAGGAAGGGGCGGAGAGGTTTTCTCTTCCTCTAGCCCCACCCTGGGGGCCCGGGGGCGGGGACTGCCCCCTCCTCCCTCCCCAGAGAGGGACATTTTTTGGTAAACCTATTTTCATTTTGGAAAATATTTATGAATAAATAGTTTTATATGACGCCTGGCAGCAGCAGCCTCTCCTATATCCCCCACCAAAGTCAGGGAGCAAAGTAGGGTTCTTGCCGGCGGGGGCGCCCGGCGAGCGGGGGGTTGG